TGACTTCACCGATCCACCGCGGAGACTGCATGCTCACCATGAGGCTCGAGGAGATGTGAAGGGCGCGCGCCTACTGCTGCAGGCACCAGAGAAGACAACAAGAGACGACACCGAGGACCATGATCTGGTGAACGTGAAACCTGTTGCACATCCTGATTCAGTCAATTCACCGACATGGCTTCACCGTGAAGACAACATACTAACCATTGGACACGAGGAGATATGGGCGGTGCGCTTCCGCTCTTGCAGCCATCAGAGGAGTTCGTTCTCATCGTACTGATGAATGTGAACTGCCCACGCATGGATGTAGTGAAGGGCATGATAGTCTTGATGCAGCAAGGTGCGTAATGAGCGATGAGATATAATGATGATGATGATTAAGGAAGACAAAAGATGAAGCTGCAAAGCTGAGAATATATAGAGACAAAAAGGCAGCAGCCACGTCATGCCTTCATGATAGACGCCCACGAGGCTTCAGCTGGAAAAAACGTGGCAACCAGTACTCAATGGCCTGAAAGGGTCCACAGTCGCTCTATCGAGCGGTGAGACGGATAAGGAATCCCGATGGAGGTGAGAGAGATTACGAAAGAAGAGGGAAGACATCTTAGACAGTACTACCCATGCGCACAATGACCTGCACGGCAGGATGGTGGACACCACCGACTAGAAAGTGCGTCGCCACCCATATACTGCGAGACATCTCTTTTTGTGATCTGCCAGCATATACGCATTTGTTTACTCATATTACGATCGCCGAATCCGACGAGTCTCGTGCGGCGGGCGTTGGACTGCCCAGGTGGGCTCCGGGCTAGGATCAACAGACGCGTTGTACGAGACCAGCTAGAATGCAGTCGCAAATGTTCCAGGTTTGATGGCGAGGGTGTGGAGAGACCACGAGCGCGCGTAAAGTAGCCGGTGATGGTCGCCGTCCGGCGAGAGTGATGATGCGACGAGGTTTGACGTTCGAAGTTCGCGTCGCGATGTGTGGCGAACTAGTCCAAATCTAGCTGGTCGTCCCTTCCCAAAACAACTCTCCGACCTTGACGTCTCTAGAATACACTCGAGAATTATGGCCCTTGTTAAAATGACTGCGCTGATAGAATTGTCTACTCTGTTAGTCAGTGTACCCTACGCCCAATCGGCCCCTGACAGCGCGGAAGGCGTTAGCTCCCCAGAGCGTACTGCACCTTGGACGTGGTGTGATTGGGCGCTGCAGTCTGGTATTACACACGTCGGAAAAGGGTCAAGTACTGATAGTGCTTATTTCTCGTATGCCCATGTTACCTACAGACATTGTTTGGTCACCTTCTGTTCCTCCTACAACATCTGGACATATCGCTAGCACCATGCGATTGACCCTGTACGCGAGGACGACATGATAACTACGTACGACGCTACCACTGCGCTTCCAGACCGTGTTGAACTCTTCATAGGAAATTTTCTCATGGCAAGAGCTGAGTGGGGCTGAGCTGTGGGATAGGCACCAAGTGAAGGACGAACATGTGGGTAACGCTCGAGCCGTGCAGTTACTTAGACCGGAAGTCAGACTTCTCATGACCACTTTACTTGCTACACGTACGGTTAAACCGAACACCAAGTATGCGGGTTCTGGTGATTGTCTGTCTTCTGTCGCTGATAGCTCTCGGGCAGAGCCTGACTGTAGTTCCTCCGCTTCTCCAAGGACCCGATGTTCCTTCCCGCTCCTCCCACAGCCTCGTCGCTCGCGTTGACGATATCGAAGTCATATACCACAAAGCCACATGCAAAGGCCAAAAGCTGCTGTCAGCAACAACCTCTCCGCATGACGCAGCAGCCGCCTTTGTCAACCCGATCGATAGCCCCTGGACCAACCCCATCCAACAGGAGCTTGAAACTTGGGGCTACAAAATCGAGAGTGACGATGGCACCCCCCAATTCCGCGCAAGTCATGGGGATGAGTGCGAGTTCGAGCACAGCCACAAGCTCAAGAGCATGTTCGATGACCTAAGGATCGATACGCGTAGTACCTACCAGGGTGGACCCAATCGGTGTTACTTTATTAACCATAAAGACGGTCCGGCAGTACGGCGCGATAATCAGGGAGATCTACCACCCGTCAAGCAGCAGTGGTATAAAGCCAACGACAACTACTATCGTGTAGGTGAAAGATGATGACGGTCCATCCATGTCTTACTGACGACATCTTCTCTCTGTAGGTCACTGGCGCCGAGTTCACAATCGGCGTAAACGCAGCATCAGGCCTCATTGCAATGACCAATCGTCAGAGCCCCGCGACCAGCGCCCAAGCCCTCTGGGGCCTCGAAAATCCTCCGCCTAACGATGAGCTTCCCGCACTGAAATCGAGCTCGGATATCATGTGGGGACTGTGGAACTTGGCGAGTCCAAACAATGTGGGCGGTATCAAGTACATTCTTAGTACGCCCATCATAAACGACGAGACGGTCGCGATAATCAAGAAGATCTTACAAGACAATTGTCTCGACTTGGATGAGATAATGATCTGGTCGGGCTGCGAGTTTGGGTCAGATGATCCGGAATATCTCGCTTTGCTCGGTAAGTTGTATCTCGGTTCGACGTTCTGGGATTGGATTATTGACTTCGACTGTGAATGTAGGATCACCGAATGGACAAGCCGTTGGGTACTTCCTGGCGCAGCACAAAGCCCAGCTCGGCGGGAAATATGTCTCAAAGATCAATATCTTCAAGGGAGATGATCCACATATGGTAGCCGTCTGCCTCCTTTTCACGATCGACGATAGGGCTGGAGCTGCGAGGGCCGCCATCGGGGGTGAGTCGAACGGCAAGGGTCGCGTCGACGAGGCGGTAGTCGTGAAGCGAGTCGTCTATGAGAAGAATGTTGTGAGACGGCATGTTGTGTGGGCGAAGTTATAGATGGCTTGAGACGCGTCAAGATGGCGTGTTTCGATGTACAGCTACGGCTTAGATCGTAAGATCTGGCTTCAAGGGCTCATATAGACCTAGACAGGGGTGTAGACTCGTTGGTTAAACAAATTTCTATATTTAATAGAGGGTTTACAACTATCGTTACAAAAATTAACTTCCCGGACGGATGTCAGTGATGGTGTTGGCGGACAAGAAGCGTGGACGCGGATCGCAACCTCGGCAAACGCGCCGCTTATCGATAAGGCGTCATTGCGAAGCTTCAGGGTCGACACCGTCATCTCTCCCTCAACTCATCATCCTCACAATGTCTGCAAGCGTCCTCATCGTTGGTGCCGGCGCCATTGGAGCTTTCTATGCCTCTCGTCTTGCCCTTGTTTCCGGTACCTCCGTCTCGGTCATCTGCCGCTCCAACTACAAAGCCGTCAAAGCGAATGGCTTCCAAGTTACCTCACCGCAATACGGCGATTACACCTTCGTACCGGCCAATACCTTCGCGAACCCAGACGAAGCAAGAGCGAGCGGCATACAGTGGGACTTCATCGTAGTCAGCACAAAAGCTTTACCCGACGTGAGCGATGACTCGACAATACTCGAGGGGCTAGTCGGCGATAAGACGGCCATTGTGCTGATACAGAATGGATTGGGTGTAGAAGAACCGTATGCGAAGCGATTCCCACAGGCTGCGATATGTTCGGCGGTCACGATAGCGACCTGCGCGCAACCCGAGCATGGCCAGATCAAGCACAACAGATGGACGCGGATCAACAGCGGACCGTACCTGCCCCATCTAGACACCGGGAGCAGAAAAGATAGCGACGTACGCGTCGTCTTGATGAATGACGCGTTCATCGAGATGCTGAGGCAAGGAGGCATCAAAGACGCCGAAGCCTACAGCCATGCCAAACTGCAACTCGTCCGCTGGCACAAGATCGCCATCAACGCCTCCATGAACCCAACCTCGGTCCTTACCCTTTGCCTCCCGAACAACGTCATGTCTCTCGACCCAGAACTACAGCGCCATCTCAAAGGCGTCATGACCGAGATCCTCGAAACCGCACCCAAGATCCTTGGCGAGCCCATGCCCAAGGAGTTTGCGACTCCCGATCAGATTATTCGATCTACACAAAAGAACACAAGCGGCAGTAAACCCAGCATGGCTATCGACTGGGAAGCGGGCAAGAAGATGGAGATTGAGGTCATTCTTGGCAATCCATTGAGGATTGCGCGGGACAGGGGCTATGAGATGCCGCGCCTGCAGAGTTTGTATGCGATGGTCAGGATGGCGCAAGAGGTCAGAGACCAGAAGAAGGACAACAAGTTGTGAGATGCCGGATTGCTCCTGTCCATTGATCAATTTTCCAATTGCCTCCTTTGTGTGTGTGTTTTACCTCTGGGTAAAGCGAGCTCCATACCAAACTGCAAACTTCAAGTCAACAGAGTCGCGTAGGCAGCGTCACCGCCGACCATCCTATCTGACCGTTTTGCCATATACTCCCTGATCCCTTCATGACACTTACACGTTTGCAAGAAAGATGACACACCACGGAAGCACTCTCGAGACCTTGCTCGCGACCCAGGTACCTAGCTCCTCGCCCTTGTTTTTAGGAATATCTAGTCACCTGAAGACTTCAAACTTGGCAAAAGTAATAGCTGCCAGTGTCCCAAAGAGTGTCGTCATAAGCGGTGCTTGGGAAGTGAAGGTGAACGCAACGACTTCGAGATCTGCTACCATCATCAGAAGTAGGATTCAATTTTCTATTTGACCGGCCTTGACTATTGTTCATTATTAAGCGACATCTCTGTATTTGGAGAAGCCGATAGTGGTGCGGGAGGAGGGCAGCTCAACCTTGGAATGTTGCGACCCTATTGAGCGACGCGGACCGTGGCTATCACAATAGCAAAATACATAAGGTGAAGGCGCCTCTCACCAACCTCTTTTTTTGCGAGCCGAAGACAATAGCTTGAGTCAGCTGCCTATCGCCCCGGTCTCTCCTTCGTATCCTCCACGGCTTTTCTTTCTCAACCACCGATTACAACTTCCCCATATCATCAACTTTCTTACCTGCATATTATCAATCGTTACTACCGCAGACAAGATGAGCAGGCTCTCTGATCAGCAGTTGCGAGCACAGTGGCTCAGCAAGGCGACCCCTGACCAGCGCCAACAGTGGTTCAACAAGGCGCCGCCAGATCAACAACAATGGTTCCGCCAAATACAACGTGTTAGACAGCAACAAGGACAGCAGCAGCAAGTACCGCGCGAGAGCAGTCAACACCAAGAGAATGCGGCCCGGAGCCCTTCTATCAACAGCCTGAACGGAGCAAGGTCGTCTACCTCAAGCCCACTCGCTGGTCCCTCAACGATGGCCACCTCGGTGACTACCGCTTCGCCTCCGAGCACGACAGCAGTGCGAGCATCGAAAAATGCATCCTCACCTATGCGAAACGAAAATACAGCGACGCTGGGCGCCGCCTCACGTATTCCTATTGTGCCACGCTCGATGCAGTCACCGAACGCTAGCGAAATTCGACATCATCAACAGAACAACGCTTTTCTCGCTTCTAGGCAGACTCAGCCGCGCATGCTACCCACGGACGACGTCGCTCGCTACCAGAAATCACCACCCAGACAGAGCCCTTCGCATGTACAAATGAAGCTGCCACCCTCACCGACACGGCCAGGCTCATCGCCATCCGCGCATACTGCAGCATACCCCACCAGCATGAGCCAGAAACGTCAGGCCACAGATGCCCCGGAAGGCGACATAAATGCAGGCAAGAGGCAAATGACGACGCAAAATGCGATGTCACCTCCCGCTGCGCCTTTCGCTCCCATCGGTCAAAACAACGATCCTCTCAACCCAGGGCCATACAATCGTATGAGACCGGTTGCATCACCCAATGGGATTGCGGCATCTGTCAACCGGATGACCCCCGACGACATCGCCCGAGACCGTCGCCTCCAGCAGGCCAAGCTCGCAGAGCAGCGCGTTCGGGCGCAACAAGCTCACGACGCCGAGAAAGCCCGCGAGCGAGAGATCTATATTGCCGCCACCGCCGCAGCCCTCAAGCGCGAGCAAGACGACGCGCGAAGGGAGTTTCTGCGCAAAGATCCAAGCGCGAACTACCGTCACATCCTCGAGGTGTACGCATTATCACCGCTAGACCCCAAGAAAGACGAGTACCCCAACCGCTACTTGACGGGCTTGCTCGCAAACCGGGTGATGCCCATGGATCTCGATTGCGACCTTGCGCTCGCGATCGTGTATGCGAAGGATCACTGGGACTACTTCGGTCAGTGGCCCAAGGATATCGAGCGCTTTGCAGGCTATGAGAGGGAGAGGAAGGAGAAGGCGGCCAAGGATCGGGCTTAGGAGACCGAGAGGGCGATGCGTGAGTGTTCTGGACCTGATCGTGCGAGTTCAGAGGCATTGGAGGCCTTGGAAAAACGCTTGCGTCCGATGCTTTTGAAGTTTTTGAAGTATACGGTGTAGCGTGAAGTGATGGAAGTAGCTTGGAGAGGGGCATGTAGCCGTCAGGGTGCACTCAACTTTGGGATGAATCAGTTCACGAATATTAGGCCTAGGTCCATAACACGAGCTCCCCGTGACTGCATTTTGCAATGAGCAGAGTGAATACTCGAGATAATTGGGTCTAGTCTCTCCAGATCACGGGGTCTGACGTTATTCTCCCATATCACCCCCGCGGCCACTTCTCATTCCAATAGCTCACACACCCACCGTCTGCACTTCCAATCGAGAAACGTCTTGTTCACGTACCCGCAGACTCCCATATCACCATCTTCACGACTACATTCCAACGACAGCCGCGATGGCCGACCAGCTCACCCAAATACCCGCCTTGGTTACACCTACACTTCAGCGTCACAACAAGAGACGCCGCTCGACATCGATTGCGCCAGAGCAAGCTGTTTTCCTTCCCGGCGCCGGCCCATCGAACGATGAGAACAATCCGACAACCACTCCACACGGACAGCGCCACCCCGACGACACCACTATACATAAGCGCACGAGGAAAGCCCATGGGGTCAAGCGCCGGCGTATTGCTGGCGACTTCAATCCCGTCCACGGCCCTGGTTCTCCCCGTTCATCCGACCTGAGAGAGGTGCGATCACAGATTGCGCCGACTGCAGACCCATCAAGCATTGATCCCGTCTCAGGCGGAGATCATCCCCACAAAGACATCACTGCCCTCCCTGTCGATTATATACCATCTCAACCCAAGCCCATTACCGACGCCATAAAGCAGACTCCCCAGACACAAGGTCGAGACCGCAAGAAGAACTTCAAAGTCTGGGAAGACGAGCCGCAGCCGTCTAAGCTTAAAGATCCAACACCAGCCGCCGCAAAGTTGCTGCAAGAAATCACCAACACCGGAGCTCAACACAGATGTCGCCGCATACCGGGATATAAACCTCAATTCCGCGCGCAAGACGCTGATTACTATTATCATCCCAATCTCAAGGACTTCCGGTTCCCACAGGGCGTCGTCGCATCCACTGATGAGGCTGTCGAAGAAGTGGCCCAGAGTGAGCTTGACGCGCCCACTGCCGGAGCGACACAGGAGACCCAAGACGCCCAGCTTGAGATTACACAGTCATTGAAGCGGAAAGCCGATGACGATCTTCGAGAGCGTGGTGCAGAGAAGCTGAGGAAGCTTAATGGCCAACAACCTTTGCCTTGGATAGTCCATGGCAAGATCCGACATGACCCAGTTCAAGATTTTGAGACTGAGTATTTTACTATATCCACACCGTGGCTACCCTCAGAGCCTGTGGAAGATGGGTTCAACACTGCAGAACCCGATCAATCCCAGCAAGAGACAGATGCAGCGCCCGAGGTAGTTGAAGCTCAACAGCTACCAACGCCCATCTCCGAGCCCGTATCCAACGAGGTGTTGTCGCCTCCTATATACTATAAACTGAACCCATCCGACATAGTCCATGTACCGGGGAACGATGAGCCAGCCCTGGACAGAGTTGAGTCGGGATCTCTAGATTTGGATGCTATCTTGATGGGAATGACACAAGATAATGCATTGCCTGCCGTCGAGGAAGATGCCTTTAAAGGGTTCGGTACCTACAAACCACCGCCACCACAAGATGATGAACTCACGGCCAGCAAGAAGGCTGCATTCGCTGGCTTTGGTACCTACCAACCATCGTCACAAGTCGTTGCTCCTACATCTCCAGCGGTCAAGAAAGACGCATTTAGAGGGTTCGGTACCTACAAATCACCACCACCGGAAGATAATGAATTCCCCGTCGTCAACAAAGACGCATTCGAGGGATTTGGTGTTTGCCAACCACCGTCAAAAATCGTTGCGGCTGCATCTCAGCCCGCTCCAAAGATTGTGGCCACAGTTCCCTCTCTGATAGACAGGAACAATCACGCCATCATCAAACCGGGCGTAGCCTACAGCGAAGGCTATGACCCAGGAAACCCACAGAACTTCAAACACTACCTCGCCCAATTCACCGATCGACCTGCCGTACCTCGCCCACGAGAGCGCGAGTATCGCCCAATGCCAGAGATATTGGAGATCGTGACGCTGAATCAGCGATTAGACTGGGTAGTTCCGAATGGTGCAGAAGCGCCCGAACTCTTCCGGGAGATGCCAGCACCACCACCTCACATCGACTCAGAGTTAGCTCGTTGTGTTCGCTTCGCCCAGTCAGACGCGCAAAGACGTGTCAACTGGCGAGCGCATCCCACCCATGTCGCCGAAATCATCCAGCGCACCAACTTCTACGGAATAGAGTTGCTAGTCAGCCGGAGCGAAATGCGCATCTCGTCACCTCCGACGGCAGACGAGTTTGAGCTAGCCATGGCGACTCGGCTGGCGCATGTATCCTTCGGCATGGACACGAAGGACTACATTGCGGCCGATGTGCCGGCTATCATAGAGTACTTCTCGGAGAATCTTCCATCGGCGATAAGCGTCTTCCCAACAGAAGAGGAAGACTGCTTCCGCGCCTTCACGGACTATTATCGCGTGATGTTCGAAGAGAACTATCCACCATTAAGTGCTCTCGGCTTGCCGGAATGGCAAGCATTGCTGGATGCTGAGGAGGGTCGACCCTCTCTTAAAGCACAAACCCTACAAGGCATCGTCCAGTCCATCAAAGGACTGGCCTCACACTGCCCCGGGGATACAGACAAGACAAATATCCTAGAAGATCAGGCATCTCGCGTGAAGCCTGACACGGGAAACGAGCATCTGAAAAATGCTCGTCTGGAACTTAGCCAGACCCTTGGCGTGAGTAGGGACAGCTTCGACGGAGACCCACAGCGGCCCGATCACCTGACTAACGCCTCTTTTGCAAGCTTGGCTCAAAGCGAAGAAGTGCAGCATTACGATGCAAATCCAGCTTCTTACTGGAACAATACAGAAGTCCCAGGGGGATATGTCCATCCTTTTGTACCCGAAGCAGATGCAAGAGCTGAAGATGTGCACGGCGATTACTATAGCCCAGAGGGCTGGTCTCGCAACGATCTGGATGCGCTGATGCCATGGGATTCTGGGCTGCATGCCATACCATCAGGCTTCAGCGCAGCTCCATTGGACTATGGCGCTACAGGGGAATACTTCAATCCGTCGGCATTGGGCCCGTTGAACGACGCTGAACCGGAGACACTGTTGTAAGGATAGCAGGCCCGGAGAGGTCTAATCGAGGACTGAAGATGTGTTAGCGGTCTTTTTGCCGTATCATGTTATGTGGTAGCAGTCGCGACTCCCGTTCGATGAAGGCTTCTCGCCTTCAAACACGGACATTGTGAGTGGCTCGCGGTGGCTAGCGCCGAAGGAGGATTGAAGCAGGTACCAAGGGTGGCTGCGACGTGTGTTGCATTCCATGAAGATACTATTGGATCTTGACGTTAGCTAGAAGACTAAATCATTCTAGAATCTATCCATTTTTCAAACTTTAATGATATGTATGTAGCAGACTGCGACATGACCTCTAGCCACTCGTTGCGCTAGTGCTAGTACAAGGGTAGTGGAAACAGGACCGATAAACGCGCGTGTAAGAGGATTGAACGCTGCGGAAGGCTCGAAGACCATCTGCATCAGGTTGTGTGCATTGCGACGGATGGTAGTGGTCCTTCCTGCTGGCGTTGTTGTCGGCCATGGTGCCACAACACCCGTACCATGGATGGACCTCAGCCTCAGCAGCTTCCACAGACTCATCGAACGAAGACAAACCAGAGTTCCAGAGAAAGCTAACACTAGCACAACAAAAGATTATACATCTTCATGTCGATTACCAGACAGTATGATATTTCTCCTTCCTTCCTACCTACCTTCCTTCCAAGCGCGCATTGAAGCCACCTTACCATGACTCCACCACGTACAGCGACAGCACCACATATCGAGACCGGTACCAAACCGGCCCCGGCAAAGAACCCACGTGGTCGACCACGCAAAGACGGGTTGCCGGCAGGATCGGTACCCAAAAAGCCCAAAACGCCAAAACGAGCGCGTGCAGATACACCGACGGAA